CCTTCCCCATGTCAGTGACTGAGGGCAGGGAAGGGACATCCCTGGAGAGGGACATCCCTGGAGAGGGATATCCCCAGCTCCCTGGCATCTGGTGGAGCTGCCAAGGAACAGCCTGCCTCTGTCTGCTCACCTTCAGATGAGCTGTGCTAAAGGCCCCTGCTCTCTGGAAAGCCAGGTCAGGACTAGTTCACCTAATGTGAAAGGATCTGCTCTCTGATCCCTGACATGTTACGTGGAGTTTGTGTTTCGGATCCAGCCACATGTGCCACGGGTTGCTATTTTAAATTATATTCAAGGTGTGTGCTGTATATTTGCATCCTGTGCTGCAGGAAGGGATATTTTTGAAGTTCTTATTTTTAACTCAACGTAAACAAACGAGCCATAATTTGGAAGAGCATCTGTGATGATGCTGATGCTTTGAGTAAGAAGACTTAGTTTTTTTTCACTGGAGGGTAAGCCACGTTTAGGGAGCTTCTCATAATAAAACACCCACACAACTCCTGTCTTTTCTCCTTCTTCACTTCCAGCACTGCCCGTGGTTTTCATGTGCAGATGGCATTGCAGAGAGGAACACGCATGAACCCTAAGATATGGGTGCTGTGTAATGGATGGAAACAAAATCCACATCTTCCTACCCACAGCCTCATGCTCCTGCTGTAAGGTCACACCTGACTTGACCATTGGTCACACTCACAAAAACTGCAAAGTGCTTGAGGGAGGTGGAAGGGAAATAAATCTGAATCACGGAGTATTTTCTGGTTTGCAAGACCCAAATCGATCTCAGATTGAAATTCTCTTGGCACCAGTGGGTTACTTCAGCAAAGTATTTCTTTAGACCCTGCTTCATTTGTCATTTTTTAACCTGTGGCTCCACTTCTGCTTAAGCAGCTTTTTGGCCAAGGATAGAAACGCCTTGGCCAGTTTAGGCTTTTCTTGTGTCAGAAACTATCTTAGAAAAAGATAAAGTTCCAGATCACAAAATATTTAGTTCTCTGCTAGCTGAAGAAGGAAGTTGTGGCTTTCTGGAGAAGCCCAGCAAGCAGCAGAGAGCCACAAGCAGAGGAGAGACCTGCTGAACCAGGAAAACTGTGTCTGTTTTGCAGCTGAGCAACAATGCAGTTGCTTCAGCACTGGTTAAAAATACCTGTGGCTTGATCCTGCTGGAATCAAAGGAAGTCTGCCCTGGGTTAAAAAAGGCATTTTAAAAAAAATCATTTTGCAACAGAGCAGATGTTTGCCTCAGTGTCACCGGCAGCACAGGCTGGCCTGAAAGGCAGCAGAAATGGACACACGCCCATGTCTTACTGGGCAGCTCACCATCCAGTGCTGGCATTCTACCTGCTTTATCACTATAAGCTGATTAAAGCATCTTTCCTGGTGCAGAAGCAGATGAGCAGCACATCCAGTCAGAACCCTTAATATCTTAAATTACTGCAGCTACATCCACTTGCCAGTTACCTGCAAGCCCTCTGAATCCTGCTCAGAAATGTGCTTTATGCTTTGCTTGGGTCATGGCCAGTTGGCTTCTGGTGCAGCTGTAACCACACCATGGCAGCAAGAAGAAAGGAGCCACCCTGAGGGTTTTCTTTAGCAAGAAGCCAGAACATTGTTTTTCCTTCGTTTCCCTTGGTTTTCTACTTTGGCTTTGCTTTCGGGGTTTGTGGAGGAGGGATGGGTGGTTTTCAGCTGGTCTGTGGAGTTGACCTTTCCCTGGACACCCTGTCCCTGTGGCACTCACAGCCTGTGCCAGCACTGCTCTTGGAGTCTGTGCTGGGAGAAGTGGTTGGTGATGGGGCTGGTGAAGATTCAATTGCAAAGCAGTGGTGGGAAGGCTGACAAAACTTGCTCTTTAGATTGCATGGGGCTTACACTAAATCCATTTGCACAGATCCTTGTGCCACAGATGTTTAGGTCATGGCCCAGAGCTAAGGAGGGACCTGTCACAAGAGAGCATGGGGAGAGGCAGGTGGCAGCCCAGTTTAGCCCAGAGAACAAAGATGGAGCTGGCTTCCTGCAGAAAGGTTAGAAGACACTAACAAGAGGAATTCGTGACAGTTTCCCCTCCTCTTTCACTCCCCAGGCAGCAAAATGTCCTCTCCCCTTTCCCCCTGGTTCTGCCTGGAATATTACTCCTTCTTCCACTCTTTGCAGCTTGTTGGAACCTATACATCCACCAGGAAGGTCCTCAGCAATATAAAGATCTGCCTGAGGGCAGAGTTAACCCCTTTTTGCAGTAACAGGTCATGGGCAATCACAGGAGAGGCAGGTATTAATCTAGTCCCTACCTAGAGGCAAGTTTAAGGAGGTGCCAAGGGGAAAACTCCCTCAGCCTCACTATGGAGGGCCTGAAAACCAGCTCCACAGCCACCTAGCACATCTCCTACCAGATTCCGTGTCCAGCCTCTGGAACTGGATTGGGTCTGGACTGGGAAATGCTGTTCTGTGCTGCAGAGTCATCTGCAGACAAATGCAGATGGCAGCTGGACATCGAAGTGGTTCCCAGAGCTTTGGTCTCTCCTCCAAGTTCCTCTTGGCATCTTGCTGGTCCTGAACTGGGTTTTGTTCAGATATGCATCCCTGGAAGTGTTCAAGGCCAGGTTGGATGGGGCTTGGAGCAACCTGGTGTAGTGAAAGGAGTCCCTGCCCATGACAACAGGGTTGGAACTAGATGATCTTTAAGGTCCCTTCCCAAAGCATACTAAGATTTGTTAAAAACAACTCCTTTTGTTGATTTTTTTAAGCATATTTTCTTCATGAACTTGCCTTTATTTAGTCATTGTTTTATTTTTAAGCCAGGAAAATATGTGGTTTTCATTTTTGAAAAAGACACATTCCTGTGAGCAGTGTCAAAAAACAACAAAAAATCATGTCTGAACTTTTCAGACTTTACAAGGAAAATATTTGTTATTCATTTGCTCAGAAAATTAAATAAACCATGCCTATGTTTTTTCTTTAGTGGAATTTAGACAAATCAGAGTTCAGAGGGCTCACTATTGATCTGCAGTTGACTCTTCGTACACCAATCCCAGATCTGTATTCTTCTCAGAGCATCTCTGCTCACTAATTTGCCTGTTGGATCACAAATGCCAGAGCCAGGAGGTTCACTTTCATTTCTCTGCCACAAAAAATAAAAGCAACCTTGCGACTGATTCTAACTGATGAAGGGTAAGAGCTACATTGCCACAAATGTTTCATTTCATTGCTGCTCCCTTACAGGGCTGCCTTCAGGACATGCCACAGATGTTGCACATGAACCCCGTGTGTCACTGCCAGGCAGACTCAGTGCTGACATCAGTGGGGAAGATAAAAGAGCTCATATTTAATGCTTTTTTCCCCCTACATTTTTTTCCACAGCTCTATCAGCTCAAATGCCTCATCCCTCAGCATTTTAGTCCTGCTACAATGCTCTGACCAGCAGCTGCTCAACCGGATGCAGTGGCATTTTCCCTTCTCCAGTCCCAGCATCCTAAATCTCAGCATCTGCAGCTGCTGACAACCATTTGCACAAGGGCTTGTATTATCATAAATAAACAGGGGATTCAGGTTAGAGCTCACATATGTTCCAGTGCTGAATATTACCAAGCAATTAATTCACTTGCCCAAAAAATTTTAAACAGCCTTAAATAGATTCCCTGGCAGTTTTTCCAGGGGCTTTTTCCATCTCTGATCTCTTGCTTTCTGCCTGAGTGGGCCCATGTTAAATACTGGCTCTACTTCAATCTATAACCACAGATTTGCTGAGAATATTTTATTTTATTGCTCTGCACATAACAAACTAGGCAGGGAGGGAAAGGTGGGAGAGACCCTGCACAGCTGAAACTTGTGCTGGACTCTTGTTTGTTTTGCCTTGTTATGCCAGAGGATATAATCCCTCTGGGTCCAACCTCACACACAAGGCTCCCATGGCATCAACATGTGCTCAGCACTTCTAAAGATTTTGGGAATCTGGGATAATAAGCATCTGTGCAAGAAGTATGGATGCTCACTACTGTACACAACTGGAATCTGTGGTTATCTGGGATCTCCTCCCTCTCACTGTTGAAAGGTGAAATCCATGTCTCAGAAGCTGAGGGAATTTCACTGTGACATCCTTCCACCCAGCCAGCTGCTACATCAAGTATGACTAACAGAATTCATACAGTTTTGCCAAAGCACCCCAAATTTAAGTACAGTCTGCTCACAGACCAGATTGACTATCCCTCTGAGTTTTGACTCTATAAAGACAGTGCAGTATCTAGATTTGAGAAGTGACAGGAATACTGATGGTGGAGGCTTTCTTATCAGGCCTGAGGTCTTTTTTTTTTAGAAAATAGTTCTTGTCCATTCCACTCAACACATGTCTAGAAGCAGGAGGTGCACAAGATTTCCAAAAATAAGTCTGGACAGGTAAAGGAGAAGAAGGAACTTCCCACCAAAACAGGCTCAGAGTGGCAGAAAACAGACACTGCCTGATACCTTTTTAACAGATCCTTTGGGGATTGCCAATGATTTTAACAGCCAGATCTACCAAACTGGAGTTAACAACCTTCAGCCTGGCTGTGACTCATATCCAAAGCTTTACAGAGAGGTTTCATGGCCCATTGTTTCCTTCGAGTGAAAAGAGAATGAAGTTCTTTAAAGGGGGAGAGGGACAAATTCCTCTTTATTCATGCTGTAAGAACCCGTCTCTGCAGTGTATGGATTGAAGGAGAGAACAAATACTGCATGTACCATAGTCACTATCTTTGCAGGGGAGGAGGTCAAAGCCAATTTCAATTGCATTAGTTGCAAATGCCTGACCCATGGAACCGGCGTGTTAACAAATTGAAACAAGTCCCAAGAGGATAGACAAGCTACAACAGACATGAAACAACTCCCAGGCCTGTTATCACTGATATCTCTCCTTTCACTTGCTGTGATCTGAATGGCAGCACATTATCATCCCAGCTCAGGCCAGTGTAGAAAAGACTGGTTTTAATTTGCACCACAGAGTGGATGCAAGCTCCGCACATCACTCATACCTGCCAAGGGCTCAGTCTCCAAGACTGGTAAATCCAGCTGCTTCTGTGGAGACTCTTCTTCTTCTTCATCTTCTTCTTCCTTTTATGTTGCATTTCCCAAGAGAAAGCAGAAAAGAAAAAAAAAAAAAAGAGAGTGAAAATGCAAACCATTAAATTGTTTGTCAAAAAGAGACAGAAAACTTTGAATGGTACTAACACCAAACAGAAACATGGATTACATCAAAAACATCTTTCATCAAACAGGCTTTTAATTCATACCTGGCATGAAAACAGGGCTCCCAAGAGCCCTGTGTCAGACATCACCTCCCCATAATGCCAGTAGTACATACAGAGAATGTGGAGCTCAGAAATCCTGTGAAACCTCAGAGAACTACCCAGTGTTGCCTGTCTCATGCTCCAGGAGAAGACATTAAGCTTCTCTGTCCATTTCATAGGAGAAAACCTTACTAGAATTATTCAACTTTTCCTTATTAAAATACTAATTTGAAAATACTCCTTTGAAAAATCAATTGATGCCAAACAAAGCAAAAGGTTGAATTATTATTTTTTTCAGAGACTTTACCGCTTGGTAAGTGAATGTCTTCAGCATTCAGAGGAAAAATCTGTTCACAGCTAAAGATTGGACACACCATCTCCCAAAGTTCAGTTAAGAGAAGCAGCCCAGTACTTTTCATAAATAGATTTATCTAAATAATGGTGTAACCTGCTGGCCTCTGATGCTGTCTGTGCAGGGCACATAGAGCTGCATCCAATGCAGTGGAAATAGCTTTGTTATTGTATCTTGCAGAACAAGGGGAGGATCACTGTAGGACCATGAAGGTGGCAATGCAAGTCCCTGGCTCCTTATCAGTCTTTTTACATGTCTTGGGCAAGTTGTCCCAAGAGGGATCCTTCTGTCCTCAGCTTTACCTTACTCAAGTCTACTCTAACTTTGCCCTGTAGGCTCCAGGGACAGAAACCTCCTACTGGGGACTTGTCCAGTGTAAGGGAGTCACCCAAGATAAGTGAGGTGAGTCTGAAGAGAGTTTATAATGAACCAGAGACTGTCCTGGGACAGATGCACAGATCTCACATGTCTTGAGCAATATCAGATGGGCCCTGCCATCTATTTTATCAGCAATAGTGTGTCCAGCAGGACCAAGGCAGTGATCACTCAGGGCACATAGAGAAGGCAGATGGGAGGTGAACCTCAGCCTACCTGGACACTTCAATTTGTGCCAGGTGAGGTTTTAGTTGGATATTAGGAAACATTTCTTTACCAAAAGGGTTTTCAAGCACTGGAACAGGCTTCCCAGGGAAGTGATGGAGTCACTATCCCTGGAGGGATTTAAAAGACATGTAGATGTGTCACTTGAGGACATGATTTAGTGGTGGCCTTGGCAGTGCTGGGTTGACAGCTGGACTTTATGATCATAAAGGACTTTTCCAACCTAAATGATTCTGTGATTCTGTACTGTGATGGACACTGAACAGATGCTTCATGGATGTAGCTTTGCAATACAAGACTGCAGCCAGATACAGTCTGGAATTAACATTGTGAGGTGCAGTTGAAGCTGAGCAGAAATCAAGATTTTTCTTTTAGCACTTTCAAGTCTCTTGGGGTAATGCCTGTCAGAAATATCTGTGTGATGTAATAGGGAAAAAGGAGGAACATATTCAAGAGATCTGGATGGAGGTTTCAGAGTGTGATGGAATCAGGTTTCATGGTGCCAGGCTGGAAGATGAATGTTTCTCTGGAGAACTCAGAGCAGCTTTGGTGACACAGTCCATGATCCTTCTTTGGTGTGAATAGCTTTCCTGCATTTAAAATACTAATTGCCGTTTTTTCCCTTTAATGTACTTCATTACAGCCAATTGGACAGCTTGACCTCGCACAGGGAATACAGCCAAGCAGATATTCATCAAGAAACCCAAAAAAGCTGTGATTTCATCCAGCTTGTCAAGATGAGCAAAAATACCATCAGCAGAGCTTTCTCAGCAGCGATGGCAAAATGATAGAGCGTGGATCATGTGCTCTGTCAGCAAGTTGTTCTCACCACGGCACGGCCCAGCCGAGGGATGGGGTTCCACCCCTCCTGCTCACACGCTTCCATCTCTCCATGCCTCAATTTTCCACCCACGAGCAACAATCCAGCATCCCTCCTGCAGGCTGTACACTGGTGTACAGGCTGTACAGGTGTGCACACCTCTGCTGGGATAGCCAGTGGTGAGCTGGCCGTGGACAGGAGCGTGAGCGATGCAGCCCAGAGGGCTCGGTGCTGGCAATGGCAAAATGCCATGGAGCTGCTGGCAAGGCAGGAAGGAGCTGCCAGTGCATAAAGCAGGCAGGAGATATCATATTTGTCTTCCAGAGTAGTATTTCCAGATTAAATATAACAGGGAAGCTCAGAGAGGTCAGAGGCTGAGATTGACTTTCAGAACGGTGCCTCTGACGTCCAAAGAGGGAGGACAGACTTATTAAAAATGCAGTGTGGATTGCAAATCTGTCACACACCCAAGGCACCACGTGGAGCTGGAGGATGGATGAGGCGGTTATGGAGAACCTGCTGACAACAACAGCCTCTCGAGTGACGGGTCAGTGAATAGTTTGCTGCTATTCAGCATTGTTTTGACAGAAACTACACAAAGTAACTGTGTGGGGGCCAAGGAGCAAATGTTCTCTTCCACTTGGAGGCTTGTTTATAATCTTGTGGTGGGGAAATAAGACCATGAATGAGAATTAAGCTCTGCATTGATTCAGGAAAATCAGTTTAGTGAGGCAGAACAGGGAGAGGAGAGAAGCAAAGGGGGAAACGTGGGGGTAGAGGTGATGAGATGGCAACAGCAATGATGGAGAAGAAGAGCAAGGAATGCCATTGGGACATGCCGGGTGAAGGCTCCACCAGCTTCTACTGTCTCCCTGGCTTCCCACTCCTGTGTCTGCTCTGGAGCATACGGGGTTCCACCTGCTGTACCATTTCTTGGCCGCAGTGAAAGTGCCTCTAACAGACTAAAGCTGACAGTGTCCGGCACAAAGGTAAGCCAAGCAAAGAGCCGCATCGTCTGCAGGCAAAGGTTTTGTGTGCCCTGCACCATTTCACTCCCCCTCTTCTCTCATCCACAAGCAGCTGCCTGATAGCTGCCTCACCACCTTGTTGACAGCACCATTAACTTGCTGCAATTTGAACCTTTCCCACAGGAAAATCCTCAATGGAAATTTCTTCGTGTTTGGTGAAAATTTGAAAACAACAGTATTCATCAGACATTGAAGGCAGTGACTCTTGGAATGTTGCCAAGATGCCTCACAGGTGTTTAGTTTGGGTTTGAGCTCATGGATGAGTGGGGTATGCTACAGGTACTCCATTCTCATCTTATAAGAGATACTCTAAAACCATCTCCTATTTTCAGGAAGTGCACATTTCAGGCAGATTTTGGGGAGATGGAAGCCAGATATCCTGGAAGATACAGATCAGGGTGCAGTGGAGACCTGAGACAAGGGAATTATATTGTATGAGTCTTTACTGCAGGATACCAAAATTTTTGTAAGGGAGGCATTTATTGTAGTTGCAAGATGGAACATCAAAGCATCCAAACAACTGTAACTCTCTACTGAATGGGGCCACCACCTTTTCCTGGCAAAGTTTATTCAACCTTAATTATCAGAGAAGTTGTGGATGCCCCATCCCTCAAGATGTTCAAGGCCAGGTTGGCTGGGTCTTTGAGCAGCCTGGTCTGGTGAAAGGTGCCCCTGCCCATGGCAAGGAGGTTGGAACCAGATAACGTTTAAGGTCCCTCCCAACCCAAACCATTCTATGATTCTGTGATCTCAGACTCATGGAGTCTGAAGAGCATTTTCCTTTCATGTACTTGTGACAGGATTGGAGAAGGCTTAGAGGAGGGCAGTAGGAAGAATGCAAAGGGTCGGTGACTTCACACGAGGTAGCTGAATAACTACACAGGACAGAAGCTGGACCGGGGTTCCTGAATGCACAGAAACCTCCTCCAGCTCACACTGTCCCCGAGCTAACTACACATGTGGGAATGCACCACATACACCTTGCCTGTTCTCCTTGTGTGTAAGTAAAAACTTTAACTTACACTACACCAAAGAAAGAAAATCTGCTTAGAGCCAGATGCAGTGTCCAGCAACAAAGTGCTTCAAACACAGCAGTAACCAAGGAAGTAAGACTTACCATCTCTGATTTTTATCCATTAAAACTACTACTTTGTATCTGTAATGCACTAGCACTGATGCTGCACCAGACACCAGCCTCTGCAAATACCCCAGCTGCATGCATCAGCCCGCCCCAGAGAAAGAAGATCCTCTCTCTAAGTTGTGTTTAGGATCAATAAGAACATGCTATCGTGGTAGCTCACAGCAAAAACCTGACTGCAAGAAATACCTTTGTCCTCCCCACTCCTGCTGATATATAAATATATCAATACAGATAAAAGTAGGTGCAGCTTTAACGCATATTGTGTCATTCCAGGCACGGCTGCTCACATGTGAGTGCACATCCCTGCATTTGAAACCAAAAATTTATTGTGAATTCTGCTTAGGACTCAGCAACGCGTTCCTGAATGACTTTCTCCATGCACCTCCTGAGACTGTAGGACAAAATGACCCACTCCCAGTGTACTGTTCAGCTGAGAAAGTTTTCTCCCTTTCTCCCTTCTTTATTTTCTGACTACTTCACATGTCATTTGTTTGCCACTGTCAGTGGGATCACTGTGCTGGTGGGAGTGAAGAGCAATGCAGGATTCATTAGTCAGGAGCTGCTGGGCGGATCCAAGGGGAGACTGTCACTTTTCTGCTTTTTTATTTCTTAGGATAAATCAATTTTTATATCTCTCAGAAAAACAGCTGCCTTAGGCAGTAAAGGGAAGCTAGGAGAGAAGCTACGTGGGGTGACACACTCCCTGCCAGTAAGTGCTGTGAATATCTTCTCAATGCCAGCTCCCAAGGACCCTTCTGAGGGAAAGGAGGATGCTCATATCCCTGGGGCTTACACCAGGCACCCATTTAGCCTGGCTTGGGTCCCAGGTAAACTTTTCCACAGAGCCAAGGCTCTGGAGGATGAAAGCACTGAGCCCTGTGTC